ATCTTCGTAATCTTCATTGACAACACCCATGTATGTGCAATTTTCAGTACTTCCTTTTCTCCATGTTTTAAAAGTTTGGCACTTTTAATTGCCTTAGGTTTTCCGCTTAGTCATTAGCTTTCACAGTTTCAACCCTGAGGGGTTGCTCAATTTCAGGCTTTGGGTTTGTTCCCCAATTGTCACCCCCTCAGGGCCACTGAGGTGAGTACCCGGCCGTAAACTTTAGGGTCCATGGAATTAGTCGAGGTGTGAGCAAGCTGGTCCGGACATCCACGGTTATAAAAAAAAAAAAAGTAGCTTTCACAGTTTCAGCAATTTGAATTATGCCAAGTTCTTCTGCAACTCTTCATCTGCAAACATCAACTCCAACTCTTCATCTGCAAACATCAAAATGTCATCTCTATCCATGTTGGAGTTATTCATATCTTGACTCGTTGTGAAAGGGTTGTCTTTCTGAAAGAGAAAAGCTGTATTAATGCAATTTTTGAATATGAATCTGCATATGCACTTCATTACGGGTCTTGACATGCTGTATCAATCTACAAGTTTGCTTTATTTATTTTCAGTTCCTAACACTAAGTACAAAGCTATAAGATACAGATTTCTTACTGATTTTGAATCCTGTTTTTCCCACCAGAAAAGTTAACACAAGTGCTGGAAGCAGAACGAGATTCTGAAAAGTTTCAGCCTCTACCATTTCACTATGTAGAAATATCAAGGCTTCTTTTTGATTAGTAAGTAGTTTTACACCTAGTAAGTACGAACTATATTCTAGTTTATTTTAATTTGTCTTGATTCCTGTTTTTCATTGATGTAGTGCCCGAGAAGACATTCAGGATGTATATATGGTTAGTCAAGTAGAATTTTTATATATTTCTTTGAGCACCTGATATTTTCAGGAATCTTGATGATTCATCACCTAACAGGTAAGGTCTCTAATTGAGGACATCAAGGATGTGCGTTTTCACAAAATTGGAACTGGCTTGGAGATTATCTCGAGGGAACGTACTTATGCGCTGAGGGTATGGTTCTTCTATCCCTTGAAAATTTTCTATAATGAACGTATTGGTGTAGTTTTGATTTGTATAATGAAACCTAATATTCTTGAAAAGGAAAAGGTTGGAAATTCTTCTAGAAGCAAGTTCTCCTCTGTTTTAAGATAGTATCATTTTCTTTTTAATTCTCATTACGTCATAACATGGTAAAAAAGCAAATGCAACCTTGGTTGAGGATCAATTTTGGTTGATAATTTTAAAATTTGGTTTTATATAGCTAGTAGCTAGTGTTAGTTATTACTTATTTTGGAGCATGTCATCTGCTTTTCAATATAAGTCTAATCTCTTCATTACGGGAACGTGAAAACCATATGCAATTGGGTGGGATCACTTGCAAATCCAGAATGATCTTTTACCTTCTGCTAGGTCTCTTTATATAGGCATCTTCCTTGGACCATATTTTATTAAGTTGTGTAGACTTCCATCAATCAAGACTAGTTGCCATATTTTCTCGAATCCTTTGAATTTACCCCAATTAGGCTTCCATTAGGTTATATTATTCCTTTGTCGGTGACATTTCCTAATTAGTTGTCCATTACTTATTGTCCCACAATTTGTGTGGATTTATTTATGGCTTAACATTTCTAGTTTATAAAAGCAAAGGCTCTGGAAACAATTTTTGGCCCTCGTTGAAAATGTCAGTAATGCCATACATACCCAACTCATAGGAAATATTTATGAAGGTATATTATGAAGGTATATTTTGTAATTAATGAACTAGCAAGCATTATGATTTAGAACATTTTAGGATATATGGTCCAGGACTAAGAGAGTCATATATTTGACGACGTTACAGTTAGCTATACATTTACACACTTTCTTTACTGAGCTGTAACCTCAACATTTTGCAGCTTAAAAATCTATCAGCTATGGAAGCAAATATAGTGCGTCCATTTGTTACAAGAGCTCTGGAGACGTTTTATAAGCTCAGCAGTCCTGAGATGATACAAGAATCAGACCACCTATCTAACAGACAACCTCAAGTAACTAATCGTGGGCCAAGAGTAAGTTATTTCTTTTTGCCTTCTGTTTCTCTTTTCTCTCAGTTCCTTCTGATTCAGAATATACGAAAATATCATATTATACCAAACAGGAGGAGATTTATTTCTTTCCCTGTCATCACTTATTTGCACCCCCAAATTATACTCATTCCAGAACAGTCTCAAGGTCAAACACATGGATCATATTTTTTACCCCTGTTTCAATGTGCAACTGATGGGGCCACAAAGAACTTTCTAGTTTATGGATTAGTGAATGGCAGGACTAGTGTTTAACAAAAGTCGTGGTATTAACATTTCGTGCTTGATTTTCAGCGGCAACTGAAAGATAGATGAACAAAGAGATTACAAATGCCTTTGCAATCATCTCAAATTACATCTCAGAGGTAGCTAGCTCATAAGCTATCCCAGAGGTACTCCCTACGCCTCTAATTTATTTTGGCAATGTTACTGCTTTCATGGCTACATATTGCAAAAAATTGTTAGAGAGCAATATTCAGCTTCTATTCAAATTTTAAATCTTAGAGGTAGCAAGTTCATAATGCTTTCCAGATTGTACTCTTATGTCTCAAATGTATTTCGGGCAAATTTAGTATTGCTATTTCTAATTCTAGTTATTGAAAGAAACTGTTAGAGGGCAATGCTTGGTTTCTATTTAAAACTTTACGAGCCAGTGAATATTTTCGTTGGAAAAGACCATGCTACTTCTCGGCTGCTTTTGATTGTGAGATGACTTGGTTTTCAGTGGAAAAATCTTGATCTTAAGGCCATTAACTTATGTACATAATGATCCGTAGCTATAATGTTGCACTATTTGAGATTTTAATAATATAATTAATCCATACACTGCATACTTATCAAATCTCCCAAAAAAAAAAAAAATGTTCATTGTATTTTGTTTGATGGTAACACAAAAGTGTCAAGTCGGTCGGGAAAAATACATGAAATATCGAACGATACGTGCACAGCCCCTAGCTTCAACAATTTTTTTTTTCTAAATAAAAATATTTGCTTGTTTTTTCTAATAAAAACAAAGAAAATAAAAGACTCATTCAAAGCCTGGAGAGCTAGGCCTGACATAGATTGCCTCTCTAGACTGATATACTCTTTCAATTTTTTGGTTTTTTTATTTGAATCTTCTTTGTAATTGTCATCTTATAGTTGTTCAATACCTGCAATTTTATTATATTCCAACCAGAACTGCTGTGCTATTCATTAATCAATTGATCCTAACTTACATTTTCAATCACGTGTGTAATTTCCATTCTGCTTGGTTGAATTAATGTTCTTTTTTCATCTTCCAAAGCAATTAATTATTTACTTTAGTTTCCTTTATTTTGTTCACATTTTGTGCATCTACTTTATATGCAAAGTTTTATCTCCTATAGTTCATGGTAGAAACCCTTATTCTGTAATTTGATCAACATCAAATTAAGCAATTAACATGGAAGCAGCAGAGTAGGCTTTGGCAATTAGAGGTTTAATGTCCATCTTCCGTATACCCTACATGGCCCATGAGCTGAGCCATGCACCTTCCGGCCATTTTTTTAAAACAAGATAGTGATTGTGGTCAGGGTTTTTTTTTTTTTTGCCTTTGGGGATTCTGATGGTTTTTTCTTTTTCAGAAAAAAACTTTTTATAAAATTACTTGTCCACGTGAGTTGAGCCAATGCTGGTTTGGTCTGGAAAATTTCATACCCGTAGCAATTTTACCTTTTAAATTGACGAATTTGGTAGTTTTGAGTGGTTTTTCGTTCTCATTCATGCATAGGGATGTCAATGTGGTTTGTCGGCTCGGGGGCCCGGGCCAAGCTCTAAAGTTTTGGGTCGTCGACCTGAGCTCGATTGAGTCACATGGGCAGACTCGTGTCAATGGCCATTTTCTGTCCCGACGAGCCGAGTTTGAAAAATAATAATATTAAAAATATAAAAAAAAATACCAGCAGGCAACTAAAATTACAACTGCTTGTGTTGTAGGCAGCTATCGTAGCTTTACTTTTTTTTTTTTTTGATCTCATAACTGGTGAAATCCGTCTATAGCTATTATAGCAAAATATATTGAATATTAGAGTAAAGAGATTGAAATTAGAATACCACAAAATTTTATGAAACTCAACTAGATTAGAGTAAAGAAATCAGAAATTAGAATACTGAATATAAGAGTAAAGAAATTGGAAATTGATTGAAGTAAATTGATATGAAATTCAAATTTTTTTCGCATATTTATAGCAAAAAATGTATTCGCTTCAACTACGTTTTAAATTTCAAAACTATGACCAGTGTTCGTTTCATCAACTTAGGCAGCTATGACTGGTATTTTTTTTTAAAACTCGTCACGGGTCGAAAATGGCATGTGTGGTTCAACGAGATACATTAATATCCTTTACTACAAATCTAGGAACTTCAGTTCAATTCTTGAAAATTTTCAGATAAAAAAGGAGGTTTAGCTTAAGGATGATAAATTAAGCCTCTTTTCGACAGCTACTATTTGGAAAAAGCAATGATTTAAATAGTGATTTTTAGGAATATGTGGTTAAAATATAGAGAAAACTTTTGAATTTGTATATAATATTTTATTGTATAAATGTGTTGTTGAAAAAAAAATATGTAGAAAAACGAGTTTTTAAATAATCGTTGTTAAAGTGGGGCTTCGAAATGGAAGTTTCATCTGGCAACCAATTCAAAAATATTTTATAAATTTAGTTCAAATCAAATATTAATTTTAACTACACGTTGATAGTTACTAATAATCTATATTGTATGATATGTTGCTATTTTTTTTAATAAGGGTCGTTTGATTGTAAAGGTGGAAAATGAATGGAAAGAAAATGTTTTACAGGGAATTGATTTGTCTAGAAATTATTTTATTGGGAATTGTAATTAATTGTATTTGATTGATATAATTTTTCATGGAAAAATATTGAAAGTTTGGCGTTTGTTTGGCTTCGTTTTTTATGAAAATTGTCTATTAAAGTAATTTTTTTCTACCATCGAGTCTAGAATTTGTTTCAATTGTCAAAAAAAATTATTATATCGAATTTTATTCGTTTGACTTTGTTTTGCATGAAATTTGTTAATAAAAGTGATAAATTTTTTTACCATTATATCTAAACTTTTTTCCAATTGTCAAAAAAAAAAAAAAAAAAAAACTAGAATTTTTTTTTTACGAAAACATCTAGAATTTGTTTTTCTCAAAAAGGTGGAAAATGAGAAAATGTGGAAAAAATTTTCCTGAGAAAATGTTTTCTATCAAATCTATGGAAAATAAGGCGAATCAAACGGATCTTAAATGATTTATAAGAGTGTGTTTGATGCACTTTTTTTATGAGAGAATGTATATATATATATTTTTTTAATGTGATAGTGAATATGTTATTGAAAAAGAATGAAAAATTATTGATGTGATGAAAAATATTATTTTATTAAAAAATGTATAATTCAAAATGAGTAGACAATTGAGAATGGAAATGCGGCTCATACATGGGCTAAATTTACCATATGTAAGCATTTGAAATTTTGTAGTGGGACCAAATGTCGTACAAAAGTTACTTTAGTGATCTTTTTATAATTCCTTCTAAACTTAAAAGATTATTTCAAAGCAGAAATAGTCCATTGTTGTCCTTTTCATTGATGATGTTTAATATTAATTGATAACATTAATCGTATTAAATTACATATTCAATTAAATACAAAAAATTATGGTCTATTTAATATAACATATGATATGATGAAGATACATTTATTGGTGTTTAATAGTCATGGTGTTAGATAAAACTATTTTGTTTTTGTCAAGAAACAAAATTCCATTTACTCGTGAATTAATGTACATCAATGTTATATTCAGCTCTATATTTTTTCTTTTATTTTCATCTACACACTTTTTAATATAATAATAATATACGTAATTTCAAAACTTTTTTATTTTATTTTTTAATCACACATTTTCCATCAAAATACTATTTCAAAATATATTTTCATAAAAAAAAAAAAACTCAAACTGTCACTTTTTCTCAGATTAAATTTGTAGGTTCTACAGAGTACGATGAAACATAATTGCGAAACAAAGGTATAAAATTATCAATTACATTAGTAGTTTATATCAAGATGTTTATCTGGAGTTGCCCTGTAAGATTCTGAAGTGGGGCTGTTTGTCCAATTATTCCTCCCAACGACACGTTTCATTATTGGATAATAAATAAGTAACAAAATAGAGTTTAGAATGACTTTTGAAATGATTGGATTCTACATTTAAGCTTTGCTGTTGCTTGTCCTGTAACGAAGTTGCATATCACATGAGGTGTAAGTGATAAATGGACCACATTTTGTCGAGGTCGACAATAATAATATAAAACAAACATTGGAAACTACGAGGCCAATTCACACGACAGATGAAGGCATCTCTACCAAATCAATACTCCTAAATAAAAATGAAATTCCTGACACTGAAAACAACTATCTAATCAAATCACATCACATGGATAGAAGTGTCAAAAGAAGATCGAGTGGTCAAGGTATGAAATGGCCCAACACCTTTGGAGAGACGGTTCACCCCAAGCCAAGATAGTTAGAATCCATTCCATCTTTCTTTCTTTTTTTTTTTTTTTTTTGATATCCAGGTATTCTAACTACACTAGATTATGTCCTGGACCACCCATCCCCGGCCTCTCAGAGAAGGGAGGAGGATAATCTCGAGATAAGTCCAAATTGACCAGGGTCTGTGCACCCTTTATACTCCTGTTCCATCCTAGAATCGAACTCCCTACCCTGAGGTTGCAAGCCCAACAGTGCCCATCCTTTGCCAACTTGGATGTGCCCGTGGGGCATAATCTGTTAATATATTGCATGTACATGTACTGGGTTGTGTTCATGGAAAGATTGTCGTTTCAGTTTCAAGGAAAGAGAAGTGAAAATACAAGTTTTCATTTAATATAGTTATTGCGTCTAATTATTTAGTAGTACTAAACGTTTAACACTTTATTTGGATTCCAATTGATTCAATCTTCTTGAATAATTACTTGGTTTTATTTGTTCATGATTGCATGATGTTCTCTTACGAATTAGTTTAAATTTTGGAATCCATTTGTGAGGGTAGAAACACTGTTCATGGGTGGCAAGATATATGGCAATGCAGTGCTGGATAAAACTTTCGAATCGAATCGAATTGTACTGGACTCGAATCGCACTGAACGATTTT